CAGTTTAGCTGACACACACACACACATACACGATCACCGCCTCTGTTGGTACCCCTCTTTACTTTATGTGTCTCAGCATGTTACTCTGTGTGTGTGTGTGTGTGTGTGTGTGTGTGTGTGTGTGTGTGTGTGTGTGTGTGTGTGTGTGTGTGTGTGTGTGTGTGTGTGTGTGTGTGTGTGTGTGTGTGTGTGTGTGTGTTGTGTGTGTGTGTGTGTGTGTGTGTGTGTGTGTGTGTGTGTGTGTGTGTGTGTGTGTGTGTGTGTGTGTGTGTGTGTGTGTGTGTGTGTGTGTGTGTGTGTGTGTGTGTGTGTGTGTGTGTGTGTGTGTGTGTGTGTGTGTGTGTCCAGTGTTTTCTTATGGGAGGCCGTCTAGCTCACAACTCATACTTGGTCTTACAAACAATATCAGAATCTCACACATACACCATTAAACTCTTTTATACATATTGCTAAACACTTTTACACGCACAATCATACTCTCTTTCACACACTTTTGTCTGGGCCATAAATCAAACTGTATTTTCTTAGAAACACTGTTATTCCCACTTACATACAACATCATACTACAATATAATACTCTAGTAGTGTATGCAAGATAGAACACTTTGTGTGTGAGAGAGAATGATGGTGTATGTGAAAGACAATGCAGGGTTGCAGTCAAATACTCCGTTTCTCTTAGGAACCTTCCTAACGGAGTGAAATGACCCGGAAGTCCCTCAGTGGCAGCCATGATAAGAGCCGTTCCAATTCTCTAAATGAAAGGAAAGGAAGTTTCAAACTTCCTTTATAACCTCCTTTAGCTTAGGAACCACTGGACCTCCCTAACCGAAAGGAGAGCAGAAAATGCTGCCCCACATGAGTTGTGAGCTAGACGGCCTCTCATATTTTCTCAGTACACATGATAATAAAGATGTTCAGACACATGTGGTGTAAGAGGAAATACTGCATGTAGAGAAGAGTCTGAATATGATCTGTTGTTGACGTAGTGTGTTCTGTTGGTGCTGTCCGTGGTGCTGATGGAGGCTGTCTGTGGTGCTGATGGAGGCTGTATGGTGGAGATGGAGGCTGTCTGTGGTGCTGATAGAGGCTGTCTGTGGTGCTGATAGAGGCTGTATGGTGGAGATGGAGGCTGTCTGTGGTGCTGATGGAGGCTGTATGGTGGAGATGGAGGCTGTCTGTGGTGCTGATAGAGGCTGTCTGTGGTGCTGATGGAGGCTGTATGGTGGAGATGGAGGCTGTCTGTGGTGCTGATAGAGGCTGTATGGTGGAGATGGAGGCTGTCTGTGGTGCTGATAGAGGCTGTCTGTGGTGCTGATGGAGGCTGTATGGTGGAGATGGAGGCTGTCTGTGGTGCTGATAGAGGCTGTATGGTGGAGATGGAGGCTGTCCGTGGTGCTGATGGAGGCTGTATGGTGGAGATGGAGGCTGTCTGTGGTGCTGATAGAGGCTGTCTGTGGTGCTGATGGAGGCTGTATGGTGGAGATGGAGGCTGTCTGTGGTGCTGATGGAGGCTGTATGGTGGAGATGGAGGCTGTCTGTGGTGCTGATAGAGGCTGTCTGTGGTGCTGATAGAGGCTGTATGGTGCTGATGGAGGCTGTCTGTGGTGCTGATGGAGGCTGTATGGTGGAGATGGAGGCTGTCTGTGGTGCTGATAGAGGCTGTCTGTGGTGCTGATAGAGGCTGTATGGTGGAGATGGAGGCTGTCTGTGGTGCTGATGGAGGCTGTATGGTGGAGATGGAGGCTGTCTGTGGTGCTGATAGAGGCTGTATGGTGGAGATGGAGGCTGTCCGTGGTGCTGATAGAGGCTGTCTGTGGTGGAGATGGAGGCTGTCTGTGGTGCTGATGGAGGCTGTATGGTGGAGATGGAGGCTGTCTGTGGTGCTGATAGAGGCTGTCTGTGGTGCTGATAGAGGCTGTCTGTGGTGCTGATGGAGGCTGTATGGTGGAGATGGAGGCTGTCTGTGGTGCTGATAGAGGCTGTATGGTGGAGATGGAGGCTGTCCGTGGTGCTGATAGAGGCTGTCTGTGGTGGAGATGGAGGCTGTCCGTGGTGCTGATGGATGGCATGAAACACACATTTAACCAAGCTAAAAGTCCATATAATCAAGTTTGTACTTAGATAAAGAGTAATGTGCTTATCTGAGTGAGAGTAAAGCTGTTGTGTCCTCCATGCAAACACAGTCACAGTCCAGCCACTTATTTCTGTCTCTGTGGGTGTTTCGGCTTTAAGCAGCTCTAAACAAATTATCCCTGTACATATGGGCTGTGTGAAGCCTCCTCACTTTGATCTGATGCACAGAGATTCACATCTAAAGATATGAGGGTGATGCTTAGAATAGAAAACATATAACAGCCGCGTGAGAGATATCTGCCAACAAGAATCTACTTTATTTCAACATTAGTGGGCACAGGGGGTGTGCAACAAGCCCCCAAGAGATGCGACGGGCATTGAAGCAATTTTTGGTATAGGCCAAATATTTAAAATGTAAATTTTTTGATAAGGGTTCCCCCTTATATCTAATTTGACTTTTTTGATAAGACTTTTCCCCATTGACATACACTGGGACATAGACGTCTGTAAATCAGCAGATATTGTGTTGGCGTGAGCACGATAGGTCCGATGTTAATTGTTGGCTCCACAGGAGAACTGAGGAGGGGCCTGCTGTCCAATGGTCTTTCTCTGTTTCTTATTCAGAGGTTGATCCATAACCCCCCCCCCCCCGACTCATGTGTCTGTGTCAACCACAGGAGGAGTGCATTTTGTGAGCTCCATCAGATTAACCTGTTTCCCTTCTCAAATGCTGTAAGTGTCTTTTGAGCCTGTGTCTCTGGTGATTTCTGAAATGGATTTGTGTCTCCTGAAGTTAACACAGGCTAACCATCCTAACGATGCTCTCCAGCGTGCAGCTCCAGATATGTCGAACTCCTTTGTTTGCAAACGCTTATCCATCACACGTTTGAAAAAGGTTGTTCATCAGGGCTCCCTGAATTTAGTAGGAAGTAGTCAGAGTGCCGTACCTATCGTCTCTGACACTCAGCACCGTCAGAGGGGAGAGTTGTTGATTCGAACACGAGTCGCTTCCTTCCTGCTCTTACAGCGTGTTGCAGGATGACAGAGTTCCCTGAAGGGGACGCAAGGAGTCATGAGGAGAAGTAGGTCAGCTGCTGGCGGTGTTACATCATACAAATTCATAAATAGAGTACACACACACTGCACACTCGTTCTGTTTATTCTGCTGCCTTCACATGGTAAACACTCATCACACATCAGCATAGTAGAGTAGCAGCTGACACACTCTCAGAACAACACCTCTACCCCTCAACACACACGCAGCTACAGCAGCAAACACACAAATACACACTACAGAATAAAGAAAGGAGTTTTGATCAGCTGTGAGGTGCTGACAGGAGGATGCAGACTTTAAGCTAAGCCAACAGGCTGTGTTTGTGGTTTCATATATTACAGTTGGAGTTCATCTCCATTCTAACTCTTAATGTTTTCTTAAAGTATTGTTTTTATTTTTTGGGAAGAAATTAAATGTTGTAACTGTCTTCTTTACATTTTGGCCATAAAACGTGCATTTTCTTACATGTCAGAAAAATGGCCGTCACAGATCCCCGAATGATGTCTTCATGTTTATTTTCTACCACAAGTCCAGAACCAAAATAACATTGAAATAAAATGGTGTAAAAAAAGTAAAGTAGTGAATCTAGAAGTTTGAGGTGCTGAAATGTTTGACAGTTTTTTGGCTAATGTCTCCTGTACAGCAAGGTCAAATAAAATATGCATGTAGTAAGTAAATCACTTCTCTTATCTCCCTACACATGTAGGTTAATACCAGTTATGTGATGGCAGCTGTGCAGATGCTCCTGATGTCCTTCACACAGAGGAAAAGTCTCTGCTCAACACATGAGGCTCCTCCTGCCAGACACTGTTACTCACTCAGAACTAACACCATCAGACACTCCAACATCATCATGCAGGGGGCGAGGTGACCTCTGTCAACTCCCAGCAGCCTCTGCTTTCACAGCACAAACGCCTCGATGTTTATCCCGAGTGTTTGGATTCTGTGAACAGAGTGGTTTCTTTAGGGGCCGATAATTATGCCGCAGGTTATTAATGCACCGTACACCGTTTCTGCAAAGCCTCTGGTCCGAGTTAGCGATGGGTTGATAGTGTAATAAGAGGAGAGGCTTGACGTTGCAGACAGAGACTCCTGTATGTGTCTGAGCTGACGTAGCTGAGAGAATGTGAGGTTGGAGGTTTCTTCTTTTCTCTGAGCTGAGAGGGGTCAGAGTTCAGCCTCTGTGGATTGTGATCTCCTTTTGTCTCCGCTCAGCCTGATGCTTGGGTCTGAGAGGGAATCTGTCTGTGTGATTTTCTGAAGGAGTTCAGGGGTGTACAAATATCCATTACTGCCTCTGGACACAGCACATCTGCAGGAACAAAGTGCAGAGGGGGGGGGGGGTCTTTTTGTGCAGCCACTAACATGCTAATATTTAGACCTCTGTGACAGCTCACACACAAGATACACTTCCAATATCCTCCATTAGACCTCTGCAGCAGGTCTGATCGTATGCATTACCTAAACATTTTATAATATTTCATTTTTAATCTGATGCAAAATGGAATTTAACACATTATTTCATAATTTGACCATTTAGAAAGTCTCTTGGAGGGTGCAGACCTTCTTTAAGGAGAACCGCCCTTTGTAGCTCCGAGCTGATGTTTTCCTCAGAAATGTATAATAGTATAACAGTGTCTCATGCTAGCTGCAGCAGATGTTACGAGCTAAGAGGGGAGGTAATAACATGCTAACAGGGCGGTGCATGTTCACAGTGTTTCCTCTCACCTGTCACGTCACTTAGCAGGAGTTAGCCTGCAGGCGGACATGTTGTCATACGAGGAACCATCCTGTATTCAGAGCTAATGGTTGAGCCACACACAGCAGATGAGACAACATGCTCTGCTAATACCGTGACCTTCTGTGTGTGCAGCTGCAGAGCGGGAGGCGTCCAGTCTGAAGAAGGTGGAGGAGGCGTATGACACCATCAACATGGAGATCAGGTAGGGAGGGATGAGACGCGTGGTTAGCTTCCTGTTGCTAATCCCTGAATGATAATAATGTTCATAAAGCTGCTCAGTAGCCGCTGTGCCCCGAAGGCCTGCATACTGCCCATTACAGTTCAGCTAGCTAAAGGTCAAGATACCACGCCCCCCCCCCCAACCCCAAGGATGAATCCAACAGCTGTGTTTCCTCTCTGTCTTTCATCACTCACCATCTATCCTCTGCATAGCGGCTTTAAAACCAGCAGGAAGCTAACGTCTGTATTGCTCCACTTTACTCCTACTTATCCACAAACATGCACTTTGTGAGAATGCAAACACAACCTGCATTACCTTCCTGACCCGGAATCCCCCCCACCTTATTAACCTGGAGCCAAACAGCCTCCTCTTTAAACATGTGTTAACCCCATTAGCACCTCTGACTTATGAATATGGAAATAAAGGCCTGTGCAGCGCCGCTGTTACCACAAAGGGCTCACTTCCGGTACGTGCCATTACTGGAGATAAGCAGATAATTGGACTGAGGGGACACACGGGGGTTATACAGCAGCTGTCACATGACACACATCTAGAGAAATACTACATTATTTTTCACTGAGGAAGAAGCTTTACTCCAGTTTACGCAGATACCTTTATAATACCTGAAGTTATATCAGACATTTCCATCTGTGTTTCAGTGCCTAGGTTGCAGAAGTAATTGTCTAAATGTTGGCATGGTGTCAGATATTAGCTTAAATATTGTTGCTGTTTTAAATACAGGTGTTTTTTTTTTTCCAGTGATCTTCGGAAGAAGCTGACCATAGACTACGGTCCAGACTGGGAGTTCCTGTTTCTGAACAGCCAGTGTTACCAGCTTAACGTTTACGAGTGAGTACTTCTTTATTCATCTTTATCTCATCAAAACTAACCCTTCGGCCCGTCCACACAGCAGCTTTGAAAAAATCTTGAAAATCTTGGAGGTGGGCGTGTCTGAAAGCTTGGGGATTTTTTGCGAGCCATCATCACAACAACAACAACAACCAATCACATGAATCTCCCACCCCCGATATACAAAGCAAAAAACCCCGGGGATTTTATGCGAGCAATATATATATATATATATATATATATATATATATATAAACTCCCCAAACAGGCGAAAACCTACCAGTTTCACCCACTGTCTCTGCCACCTCCCTCCATGCCTGGTTCCTCCGGTTTGTATCCCAGTTAATAGTTACTGGTTGTAAAGAACCGGGTGATTTGCTACCGTAATTTCTCGTTTGGAATATGAGGAAATGAACTGCGGTATGTCTCTCCCAGTTTACACGCGGTTTGATTGGCTAGCTCTTGTACTGTCAAATGTGCATAAACAGGATTTGATTGGCTGACGCTTCCACCTCAGCTTCAAAAGTTGAACATTGCTCAACTTTTGAATCCTGAAAATCCTGGAAATCCTGGAAATCTTCGCTTTGCTTCCCCACAATGCAGTTCGGCGAAAAGCGAGGCAAAGTGACATCACCCCATTCAAAGTGAATGGGCAGAGAAGCGTTGTGTAGACGGGCCGTTAAGCTGTCAACATGATGACTTCTCTCTAAGAGGACATGTTATGGTCATTTTCAGGTTGATATTAGTATTTGGTGCCTCTACTGGGCATTAATGTTCAAAAAGGTCTTTATTTTGCTCATACTGCACCTCTTTTCGCCATGTCTGTTGTGATTGGTCAACCGCTTAGAGATGTCCCGCCCCTTAGCCAATCGCGTTCAATGTGTTGGAACGCTATCCAATATAAGCGCGAGTGTTCAATCGTGATTTCGCTATGTTCCGGAATTAAACAAAGGAGTCCAATGGAGGTTGTTCAGGCATGGGGGGTGTTTGGGAGTTTCAGAGAAGCATCACAAAGTCTACAGAGGATGTTACTGTGAAAAACTCAATCAAAATCCGTCATAGTGAAGACCCAGCATCTCAGTGTATAATGTGATAGAGATTTAATCACCACAGAGAACTCCTCCTCCTCCTCCTCCTCCTCCTCCTCCTCCTCCTCCTCCTCCTCCTCCTCCTCCTCCGCGTACTGGAGAAGCTGCTCTCCTCAGGAGCGCTGCCACCTGGAGCTCCACAGGCTGTGGGCGGCTGAAGACTGAAGGAAGTTATCTGCAGACACATCTCAGAGAGTTTCCCCGGCCCTCACACAGCAGGGTTTGCTTAGTTTGCCTTTTAGGAGGCAGAATGTTGAAGATGTTAAACCAGATAAAGAGAGGAAAGTCAAGGAAAGCTTAGAGCTACTGCTACGCTAATGCACGTTTAGAGTAAGAATAGAACATTGAACAGCTACTGAATGATCAAAGAAATCACTACTTTGGGTTTATTACTTTTTCTTTCTATAATGAATGTGTGCCTCCCTGTGTGGCATTGAGCAGGAGAGCCACAATTTTCTCAATTACACAATAATCAGACAACATCTTGACCAGACATTTCCACATATTGGACTCTTTAAAAAAATCTACAATCATAAATATGAATTTTTCAACAGACCCTTGGGGTACAGTCGCCCTTTGTTTTTGTACAAATCAGTAACACAATGAAGCCATTCCCATTCAGTGTTCCCTCTTCACCTTTCCATGGAAGCTCTTTCTGTAAGAGGACAGGAGAGGTTTGATCCCCACTTCGCAGGCCACTCCAGCATCGCTCACCAAGTCATTATATTAGGATGTTCTTTTGTTCTGCAGCGCTCCAAGGGAGCCCTGAATCTATTTTTCCCGGCGGGTGTTAGCTATGCTGTAGCGCCTCTTGTCTTCTCTGGGCATCAGCAGGCGTTCCGTTCCCATGGTGCTTTAGGTGCTCTGCCACACAGGCACTCCATTTTAACACTGTAATATCATAACATGAATACCAGGTATTTTGCACAAACATTTAACAAAATGCGCTTAGCTAATTGAATGAGTGTTTTAAGGATTTTGTCCTTGGTAAATGAGCGTCATTTTTCTCAAGAGTTAAAGAAATTATGAAAAGAAGGAACTAGCTTTCTCTGTTCATGCCATTTAACACTGTTCAGTGTTAGCGTAAAGACAAAGCTAACCAGGCTAACCGCTGCAGACAGATGCATGCACGTGCGCGGAGGAAGTGAAATCTTGTTTGTATGTGGGATTAAATATTTGTTTATGCAGAAAGTGTATAAGTGTATCAGAGCAGGTGTCACACTCACGTTATCAGACACTGTTGGTTAACTAAAGAAGGAGCCTTAACAAGCTGCTTTAGGACCTACAGGACAATTTGAGGATGTTCTATATTTGTATTATTATCAGCTGGTTATTTAATGTGTTCTCTTCATACGACCTAGCAGATGTGTCTCAGCCTCAGATAGTTCTTTCTCTTTGTGATAAATCTAATTATCACCTTAGGATAAAGTAGATCCTCCAACACTCTTTCTGTTGGAGCCTCTTTTAACACCTCAGAGGAGGAGAAGTGTAAAATATTATTCTCAGCCAGCGTGCTTCACACTAATGTGGGATCCTTTACATTAAATAGAGATATTATTTATGGCTGTATTAGAATATTTCTCTCATTGTTTTATAATACATATCACTTTGAGATCTTCACATTCAGGCAGCTGAACTCAGTACGTGATTGATGCAGGATTAACTGGAGACTGGTTTTCCCTTCCTTGTTCTATAGGTTTTTTTGCATGTCAATGGTCTGCAAAGGCTAAAATCCCTACGTTCTATTCTATCTTGAAACACCTCCTTTGTTTACTTATGGAACATAGTGACATCACAATGGAACACGTGCGCTTCTATTGGCCAGAACTCAAACACATTGAATGTGTGGCGGGACATTTCTAAATGATTGACCAATAACAACAGAACCAGCCAGTTGACCATCAGAGCAGACCGGGCTCTGGTTTGAGACAGAGGGTGAAAAGAGGGACGCTGCAGGACAACAACAAAAAATCTTCTTTTACCGTATCAAATTTTAATAACATAAAAAAACTCGTAATCTAAGTAGATAAATATAAATGTGGTATTTAAATACTTTGCAAGCATATTTTTTATTTATTATTCTTTTTTGTTTAACATGTATTCGTATTACTTTATTTGTTATATGTTCAAATAGTTTTTTATAATGGAACTATTTTCTGCTCCTTTTCTACAAAGTATTCTTCTTACTTTCCTTCATGTATGTGTGGAGGAGAAATCGTCAGTAATAATGTTTGGTCTGCTTTTCGCCTCACTGCTCTCTGATGCTCTGAATCGAAATTGGCTTCCAGTTTTCGGTTTTGTTTCCAATACAAATTGATTCTTTGGAGAGGCTGCATTATTCTCTTCTTGGGTAATTTATGAGCACCCCCCGTCCCTCTTTATGTTGTTTCACAGAGGTAATAAGAAATATTTATATACATCTCATACTCTGCATACAGCATCTCCAGGCTGAAGTATGATAATCGGTCCGAAACTTCAATCAGACTCAGTGAGAGCTGTTTACTGTGCTTCTCCATGTGGAAAATGAAGGTGGACTGGAGAGTGGCCCACTTTAAATATGTTTTCTTTAAACTGGGTGAACTGGAATATCAGTATAAGTATAATACTGACCACCCCTTAAACTGAGACAAAGATAATGTAACTTGACTCTGCTAAAGTCAAACTCATCATGGCTGCAGTTTATACTCTTACTGTCGGAGAACTGTATATACCTTGTATATATAAAGCACAGTCCCTGAGGCTCTTGGAGGCTAACATAAGAATAAACCTCTGTTATACTTATTAAAGTACAGTTATAGCAAAACTGTGGTTGCAGAATGTGAGTGCTTTATAACAGCTGGATCCACACTTGAAGTTCCTTTTGTAGATCTGGTTCAAATCTCAGTTTAGTTGTTCTGGCCTCTTTCTTTATTGTCACTTTGAAAAGACAAAGTGTTGCGTTCAGGAGCGGATGGGAGGATCCCAGCTGTCAACCGTCTGATCACAGCCTTCTGAGTTATTATAAAGTTTGATTGATGACCTATGCATGGTCCGCCCTCCCGGCACGTCATCATCTGTCACATATTTATATAATGAAACATATCCAGGGCTGTGATTCATGCAAGCCCACTCTCTGCTGAACTCTTTATCCTCCGTCTGTCTTTGTTCCTCTGGATGTTCCTAAGCTCTAAATCGCCTGGTGTGGGGTGGTGTGTGTTGTGTGTGTGTGTGTGTGTGTGTGGGTGTGGTGTTGTGTGTGGTGTGTGTGTGTGTGTGTGTGTGTGTGTGTGTGTGTGTGTGTGTGTGTGTGTGTGTGTGTGTGTGTGTGTGTGTGTGTGTGTGTGTGTGTGTGTGTGTGTGTGTGTGTGTGTGTGTGTGTGTGTGTGTGTGTGTGTGTGTGTGTGTGTGTGTGTGTGTGTGTGTGTGTGTGTGTGTGTGTGTGTGTGTGTGTGTGTGTGTGTGTGTGTGTGTGTGTGTGTGTGAAAAGACGGACATCTGATCAGCTTCTGTCACATGTTGACGTATATAATCTGTCCTCACAGTTTTTAACCCAGAGACTCACTTCATGTGCTACCGAGGTCACATGACCCTCACTTATACATATAGATGCTTTCTTTAGTGTGTGAAAGAAAGCACACTTGGCCATCAGCCAATGTTTCTGGATTCAGAAATGTGTTGCTGAATTTATTTTACACACTTTTTATTTTTTAGTATGGGTTTACCCAAGACTTCATTGAGCTTTCAGAGGTCATTCTTTTACATGTTACCGTTGTTGTTTAAAAGTAAAGTACGTGACATTTCCACATTCAAATGTGCTGGACCTCAATATTAAGTTGAGCTATTTCAAATATAAACGCTGCATATCTTTTGTACCAAAGAGGATTGTGACATTCCTTTACGACATCTGACCAAAAGTGATCTGAATTCTGAGAAAAACATTGGGGATATATAAAGAATATTGCGTGGAGCAGCTTTAATATAAATAGCATTACACTTCAATGATGTAATTTGATGAAGATATATACAGTGTGTGACGTTTGAAGACACTATGTGATGTTTCCTCAAACATCTTTTCATTTCTGTGCAGCTTCTGTCTAAAACCGTCCAACAGTTTGCTGATGTTTATCGTCAACGCCTGGTTTAAAGAGCCTGAAGCAGCATGAACAGTAAAGCACCCTGTATTAAAGCTCATGTGCTCCTCTCCTCTGCAGGTACACCTACAATCTGTGCCCGTTCAATCAGGTCACTCAGAAGAGCACCGCGGGGTCCGAGGTCTCGTTAGGGTGAGTACCAGCAGCTCACCCCCACACACAGCAGAGGGAGGTCTTTTCTAAACAGCTCCAGGAACCCAACACACTTCCCTGCAATCATTTTCTTCTTGATATTAATCAGATAACTTCACTTGCAGCGCTGGAGAACTCTGACAGCTCTTGAATCATCGTTACAGCGCTCGTATGAAGAGTATTAATTCAATCTGCTTCATGTGACCCTTAATCAATCGCTAACAAATCTTCGTTAGCGTTTTAATAGCTTCTGATCAATAACAGTTTCATGTATGGCTTATTTTATATATTCTACCTGCTGAGTGAAACAGCAGATTTCACTCAGCCTTCCATTTGTTCTGTTGTCACATCTTTCGTCGTGTTTCTGTCAGACAGGTCCAGATAAACATGAAGCTTATTATACATTTTCGTTTTTTTAGCTTTTTATTTGAGGTGATAATTAGGGGATGTCGCCTTTATTTTAGGTAGCAATTACAGAAACCATTCCCATTGAGACCTTTCAGGACCAATGTCTTTATGATTGGCTGCAGAGCGGGCACAGAGGCTATCAACAGACAAATAAAGGCATAAAGACGACAGAAGAAGTGTCAAAACACTCTTGTGAGACGTGAAGCCATTAGGCCTGACTCGTCTCCTGCTGGCAGCTGAAGTGACACGTTAAAGATCATTCATCAGCAATTATCTCCTCCTGCTCTCAGATTGTGAATTAATTGGAGTGTAAATTTGTTTTTGCGTCGCCACCTCCCACACCACCCACTCACTGGAGGAGCGGGAGGAGCATGTTTTTAGCGCAGAAAGAGGAAAACAGCATGCTAGCTTTGAGTCATGTGACCCCACGCTTTGCTGCCTGTCACTCACCGTGTATGGCAAGACGTGAGGACCAAACAGAACCAGCGACCCCATCTGAGAGCTGGTCACTCTGTCTGCAACTAAAAACAGCATTTTAATCTTTACTCTTAGTCTCATGAGGAACCCATTCTTATTTGTAAGCTTCTCCGGTTTAGCACTAGTACCAATGTACCAATTTGAAATTCACAGCAACACTGCACAGATGGTTTTAGAGCATTTATCCTCTGTTATTGACTGACAGGATGACATATGACAATGGCACAAAATCTCACATGACGACATTTTTTATAACTCAGTAGTGTCTTGGCTATGATGAGCTACAAAAAGCACCACCACATATCTGCCAGTCAGACTGCATATTAGAGCTGATGTGGACAGTTTATAATAACTGCAAGAGCAACACTGGCAAGTTAACCTTGAGACCCAACTCAATTAACCTGTCAGTGTGCTATTTAGCTAGCAAAGTTTAGCTATTCAGGCTAGCGAACGTTAGCTATTTAGTAGTTCCTGGTCTGAAAAACTGTAACTACTTCATAACAGTTCATTCAAACGCTTAAACACCGTTTATTTGGCAAGTAAAGGATGCTATAGCTGGTGACAATATGCAAAGTAATAGCAATAAGGCTTTAACTCAAAGTACCAAGACATGATACGGCAATGTGGAAGCACCCTAGAGCCGGAAGAGAATAAAATGTGTACGCTTTCCTCGTGAAGTGTGAGAGACACGACTGAACACAACAGAAAATATTGTCGGTGTGCTCAGAGATGATTTAATGTAAAATGAATCACATGCAGACACCTCGTTGGTATGTTGTGGGTGTAGCAAGCGGCGCGGCACTGTGTCTGTGGAGGTATATATGGAGGGGACTAAAGTTCATTTTTTATCCTGACAGACCATCAGTCAGCGGGATGCATCCGTCCTCCTGATATCAATCTGCATGGAGGGGGGTGGGGGGGGGGGGGGGGATTTAAACAGCAGCATTTATCACACCTGCTCCTCGTGCTAAAGGACAGCATGTGAGGAGAGGAGCAGAAACATTCTTAATACTGGCTCGTAGTGTGTTGGTGCAGTGTTAATGTTGCTGAATTTTGATTACAATGTCAGTTTGTTAAGTGTGTCAAGGCTCATAAAAGTTCAAATTGTTCCCTCAGCGTTTCCTGCATGCGTGGTTCTGCAGCATTAAGTTTCCGAATGCTCATATAGAACAATACATCCCTTCCTATTGTGGCCACACACACAGCCATAAAGATTTCATAAGGCCCAGCAGTCACACTGTATGCTCCCAATTATGTGTAAATGTAGATATTATACGCCTCACATTCACCTCCTGATTCCAGCGTCTCCGTTTCCCATTTAGCTCTCTGCTCGCGCCGCTTCCTGAAATGGCCCCTGCAACAATAGCACGCGCTGCCGTAATGATAATGGAGTGGAGGAAAACGCTTGCATAGCGACAAACACTGTGGCACCATGACAGCGTCGTCCATCTTCATAATGTCCTCCACACGCAGAGCTGCACAAACACACATGTAAATCAGTTCCTGTGCTTATGTTCATATATAACACACTGAGGCAGAAACAGATGCATTGATTTCTCTTTGTCACGTGCATTTCCAACGTGTTTTTGAGCTTATGGTAAATAAGAAGCTTGTAGAGTGCGTTGGCAGTAACTTTTGCCAGGCAGGCTGTTTTCAGTTTGGTTTCTTGGTTATTGTTTTGGTTTGTCAGCGCGGCAGCAGAGCAACCGTATTTTCATGACATTTGGTGTACTCTGACCTTACACTGTAAATATAATGAATGACTGAACTATCCACTGCTGTTGTAAATCATTTTTAGCTATAAATGATATCAAACCCATACAGTACAAATATATATTATTATTATTAAGTATTTAAGTTGTTGGTTAAAGAAGTAAAAGGCAGTGGTTTTGGCTCTAATAAACATAAAATATATATGTATTATATTTGGAAATTATTTTTCTCTTCAAAAACTGGCGCTGACAATAATTAATTAATTAATTAATATTCGTATTATGATTTTTTGTTTCTCTCTTTTAAAAAGCCCCCCCCCCCCCCCCCCAAATGTGAAACCATAACATAATGTCCTTTAATGGTTATTTATTGCATTTCCTACACTGGCTTGACAAATTAGAAAGACGACATCCCATATTAGTTTAACCTCACTGCCTGCTGTTTACAGTGCTCACATTCATATTTCCCATGCTCTGCTGCTGGTGAGAGGTTATTACTGCTGAGGGCTTTTTGGTTGTTAGCAGGAAATGGCCTGAGTGCTAAGCTAATTACTGCCTGTTGACAGACCGTGTACGCCCTGGGTTAGGGTGTTGGTAAAATAAAATGTATCTTAGTTAAATATTGTTTAGAAGATGTGTTAGGCTTCAGTGTAAAACATGCTTTGTGGTGCACACAAATTATTTCCCTTGAAATTGAATCACTGAAAGTCGGGGTGAAGAAAAGTCCTTAAAATGAGTCATATTAACAGAAATGAAATCTTCCGAGTGTCAGCTCTAAGAGGCTTTTGAGGAATATTTTAACATTTTGGGAAACATGCTGATACAGTGAGGAGAGCGAGGTAAAGGTCAGGAGGTTTATCTGAGATGAGATTAGCATATCGTCTGGAAGTCACTGCTCCTAGTGCTTACACACACTGACATTTTTGAAAACAAGATGAAATAAATAAGTGAGCCATGGTGATTTAAAAAGGCCCTATCCTGCTTTTTGTGGTTTTCCCTTCCCTGTTATATTTGTGCATGTAAATGGTCTGCAAAGGCTACAATCCTAAAGTTCCCTCAAGAAGGCGTTTTTCTCCCACACACTACTTGTGGGAGAGAAAGTAGTGCGTGAGTCTGAGGAGGTGAAGGTGAGTCTAATAGCTTTTATTTTTGGGACCCCGGGGAAATCAGGCAGCCACGAGCTTGGGATCAGGGGTCCACATGTGTCTCCTCGTAAAGTTCAAGGAGCTCGACCTCCTGCTGTGCAGGGTCAAACTGTTTGTCGTTGTCCTGCCCCCACAGAGAGGAGGAGGAGGAGGAGGAGGAGGAGGAGGAGGAGGAGGAGGAGGAGGAGGAGGAGGAGGAGGAAGAGGAGGAGGAGGAGGAGGAGGAGGAGGAAGGAGGAGGAGGAGGAGGAGGAGGAGGAGGAGGAGGAGGAGGAGGAGGAGGAGGAGGAGGGAGGAGGAGGAGGAGGAGGAGGAGGAGGAGGAGGAGGAGGAGGAGGAGGATCATGGGGTAAAAGTGGCATAATAATTCCTGCAGACAACAAGATTAATGAGTCAGACTAAAAGAGGGAGAGGAGAGGAAGGAGGAGGAGGAAGGGAAAGAGGAAGTTTTGAGTGTTTTGAGTTCCTCCACAGCTTCATTTTGTCAGTATTCAAAACACATCTCCATGTAACTGCTTCATTCATCAGAGCTAGCCTCGCAACATAACACTTGGCAACCTGCAATTTACACTGTAGCTATTATTTACGAGACATTTTTATTTTGTATTGTATATAAGCAGTGTTGGCCCCAGTCGTTTTCCCAGAATGCACTGGTGCAGTGATGGCTGCAGGCTGTCACACACACTCTTTTCTGTGCTCTTATGGAAACATGTTCATTTGATCAATAACAGACCATTCCTCATGAGAGACAGCATAACGAGAGTAAGAGCTTCTGTTGGTTCCCCTCCCTCCCTCCCTCCTCCTTCTGAGGATTAATCACTGTTTCATGTTTAGATAGAAGAAAAGTGCTGTGGCTAATTATCTCGATGGGAGGCCATTTTTTATTTCCCATCAGTCGCAGATGGTTCTGTGAGATTAATACTGTAACATGAGCAGATTACAAATGAGACACTGCAGCAACTTCTCACAAATACTCCTTCAAAATACTTTCAAGGTATATGCTGCATGTTCACTACACTGTGTGTGTGATAGACAGGCATGTTGGAGTATAATATATATATTTACATGTTTATATTTATATAACACCCTCACTACAGGGGGTAGCCATTAGAGAGTAAGGGGAGGGGCTTTATCTTTTATATTTAACTGAAGGCAGGGTGGCGATAATGACTCTAGTAAGTGTGTTAAAGTGTGTGGTTGTGTGTGTGTGTGGGGGGGGTCTGACACTGTGAACCCCTGATGGCCTTTCTGCCGGGTTGCTGTGGTAACGTGTGGTTGTTAATGAGGCAGTGAGCTGTTAGCTGAATACAGATGTGTGGCAGTGAAATATGGAGTGTTCACTTGCAGTTTGATTTAGCGCCTTGTGAAATGGCCTCACTGTCGTCATTGATTCACACTAATAATGTCCATGTGTTTTAAAATCTGAAAGAATATATAGAAAATATATATATATACGAAAACAATATTTGATTCAATAAATTCAATTCAATAAAATGCATCCCTTAACATTTAATATTCAGGGAAACCTATAATAATAACAATATACATAAGAATAATAATAATAATAATAATAAATACATTATATTTTATTACTTATTCAAGGACAAAAATATTTGAAAAATATTATAAGATGAATATATTATCTGTCAACATTGAATCTTTAGGGAAAACTATATACAAATACTACAAATAAAGTAAATAATACAATAGAACTGAAATAAAAAGAACAAACTAATAAATGCAACGTTTGGCTTTATAAATCTTTGACAGATGCTTTTCTTCCATAAAGTGTTGAACTTGAGTGTAGACAGTAGAAAGGTTTCTTTTGGTATTGAGTACACATGTATGCAAACAGTCTTCAATTCAGGCAGCTTCCTCCATGATAATAGCTTCTGAGAGGTTGATTTGTGGCTATATACGAGGAGGGGGGTGAAATGATCCGTGGATAGTGGGGATTTATAACTCAGATTAATGCTGCGATTGAGTTGAAAACAGAATCACTGGCATCGCTTTAAAGAAATAAAAGGGGCTTAAATCAGCTGCAGCCTTCATCAAGAGAAGCTAATCTGCTTTCTAATGCTAATTCATCACAATAAGCATCAGATTATAGAAATTAGTTCAACAATACAAGATATTGTATATGAGCAATATCATCATAACACCCCAAAAAAGTATTTTATGTGTTCAAAATATAGCATGACTCTTTGTTTAGTCTGCAGCTAATTTAATCACAACTCTATTTCTGTGTCAATAGAAAAAGTAATTCAGAAAATAGATTGGCTCTGTAATGTGTGCAGTCACTATCTCACCCACAATGCAATGCAAATGCAGGTCTATCTGTGATGGAAGGCCAGACAGATTACATTATGAGCCAGAGATCTGCAGGTTTAAAGCCTTTTAAAAGGAGCATCACTATCATCCATCATCTGCATGTGGTGAGACATGGATAAGATAAGATGCACTTTACCTGCCTCCCAGACCAAACTAATAGAATCTGGGTCAAATGAGAACAGAATCTGTCACCTGGATGTTAGACTAAGAGAATGCATTAAGGCACCTTTGAGAGACAAATGGGGAGATGTTTTTGTGCAAGTAAAATGTAGTTTACTTTTTGTGATTTGACACGAGAGCAACCCGTCCACTATATGTCATATTGACTGTCATGTGACTTGGCAGTAAATGTAGATTCTGAGGTTTTCACTTATCACATCATAATAATTAATGTATACATTTGATCTATAAGGAGCCCAATTACGATGGCCAGTCAAACAAACCTTAACATGATGTGATTAAAGATTGATGACTGGCATCGATGTGTAGTTACATTAAAAGCTATGGACTGGTGGATCGATCTCCAGTGGCAGGCTAACACTTAAACTGGTATTTCCTTGGCTTGTTAGTGTTTTATATTTCAATGCAGCCTCTACATTCACTGCTTTTACTTTTATCATTACTAATGTTTACTTTGATATAGCCTCATAAGCATCATTAGCTGTGAGGAAGTGTTTACCACAGACGTACATGTATTGACTGATCGAGTCTCATTAGTTGCCGTCTCTGTAGAGGCCTGATGCCACTGAGTAAAAGGAAATCGCAGTTGTTGAACTTTTTGTCGTTTGATGTACAATACACGACACAGAAGCTTTTAGGCATGATGATATTCTATTTTCAGCTTTGTGCCGATTCTCAGTTTTCACCGGAAAGTTGGACGGGGCCGTCACTTTGTGCTCGCATCTAAAGTGCAGCTGAGCATCACGTACCTTCGAGCCAAAGAGTTGTAAATAAGGACCTGTGCACAAGTCTGTTGAGGGCTGTATCACATATTTAGTGCAGGAAGGTGATGCACAGGAATCCATCGAGGACCTCTGTCACTAACAGTGCTAACACCCAATCACAGCAGCAAGGAGAAGGAGCACCTCGCTGAAATCAGAGTGGATTTTAAAAAAGGGCAAATAAATGTTGTTGGACACAAATGTATGTGTCCAATTTTTTATTTCTCGTCCCTCCGCCTTTATTTCTAAAGTCACAATATCAGCAGCAATATCAAATATACGACAAAGGGTAATATACTGCTGAGATGTATTTGAATCCCCCTAAAAACATCATATAAGCCTCCTTGACACTGAAAGCAAAGATCTGTAATCTCTCAAGGAAACGTTTGTGCACCCGAGACAGTTCTTAGAACAGTACATTTGATTATTAGCATTTTGCAAAAGCATTTACATAATGTTGGCAAACCATTTGGAGAAGGCTTCAGATCCCGTGCTTGCTCAAAGTGAAAATATTGATTGTATTATTTCTCCTCCGGTGCAGACAGTTGCATGTAGGGCAGGACATCAGTAAAATCTCCAATCGACCACATGCAGAACGATTTTCCCTCAAACAGGATTACACTGTTTTCCTGAATCAGTCGTCAGCGGCAGCACGTCTGAAGAAGAGAGGAAGTTATGTGGAGAAAGCTTGGTCACATGGCATCTGTCAGACCAAACTGTAGATAACTGTAGAGGAGCTGGCAGAATATAGCGTCCGGACACAGCGCTGGCACTCTGCTCTGTCTCTCTGGGAAATGTTTGGTGAGAGCGTAATGAGCTGCAGATCGGCCTCTGTGGATACGGCTTCACTTGCCTTCCCTCGTGTGGTGCTGCACACACATTAACTCTGACTAATTAATAATTCCCCTCCATTGTTGAGCATGGTGCCAGGCTGGACGTGCTGCCAGGTCTTTGTGTTTTTTAATAACCAGACAAACTTTTTCTGTGCTCAACTGCTGATAAAATACTTTGTTTCCACTTCATGAAAATAGAACCTGACCCTGTGTTCTTGCTGTGTGTCTCTCAGGAGGTGGGGGATGTGGGCGGGGACTCCGAAGAACCCGTACAGTCAGATGGTGTATGAGAACGGAGAACCCTGCTGGCAAGGAGGCTCCCGCAGTACTACAGTAAGTGCTGCACACACACTCGGGGATAAACAAAGTAAGAGTGGAACATACACACTGACTGACAGATGGAAACAAAGTCCTTCATCAGAGCTCAATAAATATGTGATGCAGACCTCATTAGGATTTAAACTCATTATGGTTAATATGAGAATATTTTCTACAGGAAACACTGCTGTTACATCGACAATATTTAAAAAACACCCTAAAGTAATGGTTTTGATCGCTTAGCAAAATGCTTGATTGACACGCCTTGAGTTTTCAATGCAATGTTATAAATGCTGCATGTGAACGGACTCTTACCGAACATTACACACTTGTCACAGGAGAACTTGCACTGCCATTTAGAGATGTATTAACAGGCTTGTTGTATGGATCCAGTTTGACCATTATCAGTGACATAGTGGTTGGTGTGTACTTCTCACCCTGTAGCTATGCTTAAGGGAAAACTTAAAGCGGCCTTTTTCAGTTTTGGTGGTGTTCCCTTCCCTGGAGTGTGTTGAATAGGTTTTTGTGAAGGCTAGAGCTAGAATCCAAAAGTTCCCTCCAGAAGGGTTTTCGCCTCTTTTCCACAGAGAGTTTATAACAACTTGGGCCTGGACAAAGAAACCTTACTGGGTATAAATCAATGACAAGTCTTTATGTACACTCCTCCCTTTTCAGATATATGTTGGGTGGACAGAGACAGATCAGCTGTGTGTTTTCCACATGTGGATTTGTTCCCACTCAGCATCCTGGCAGTGAGATGTTGTGTTCAGGGCCCGGTGATGGGAGCTGACATGCCCCTTCTCAGTCCTCATTGGTTTAATGCTGCTCCACTTGAGGCTTCTGTTCTTTATTTCTCCGGTATTGCCTCCTCTTACAGACACTTTTATGAGATCCATTTACATTTTGTGTCAGAATTGTATAAATGTAATCATCTTATTTCCTGTGCCCCCTCTGCACAAATCACAGTCTAATAAATGTCGTTTGCAAATATATGTACTCATGCCATCCAGGGCCCCATTTGAAAAGACTCAAATGAATTCCTTTGATACGACCTCCTCACCGAGAGCAGGCGGCATAAATGAAGTCTCGTCAGAAGTCGGCGCTCATTATATTTGAGAAGCTGAACTCGTCTCTGGGTAGTGCAGCGGTGAGCGCTCTCCTCTCTTTACTCTCCGGCTGTGGGACCGCTGAGGTACTGTTTCACTGAGGGAAGTCGAGGTAATCCAAATTAAAGCAGCATGCTGCAAAGAGTCTGTAGGGAGGGGGAAGTGAACTGCTTCACTTATTAATTAAATTCAAAGTGCTGGGCTATGAGTAGCTACAGATATAAACCAACCAACAGTTTCCAAAATATAGGTCAGATTTTTGTTTGCCAAAAGAAACTTAGACCATGATATAGAGATGGCAAGAAACATGCATCACCATGTCGGTGAACAGTATCCCACTTATTACACGGCTAAACACTCTTACTTCCTGTCTGTCTCCTTCTACTCTTCCCTCCAGTGTTGACTTCCTGTCTGTCTTCTTTTGCTGTTCCCTTTAGTGTTGACTTCCTGTCTGTCTTCTTTTGCTGTTCCCTTTAGTGTTGACTTCCTGTCTGTCTTCTTTTGCTGTTCCCTTTAGTGTTGACTTCCTGTCTGTCTTCTTTTGCTGTTCCCTTTAGTGTTGACTTCCTGTCTGTCTTCTTTTGCTGTTCCCTTTAGTGTTGACTTCCTGTCTGTCTTTTTTTGCTGTTCCCTTTAGTGTTGACTTCCTGTCTGTCTTTGTTTGCTGTTCCCTCCAGTGTTGACTTCCTGTCTGTCTTTGTTTGCTGTTCCCTCCAGTGTTGACTTCCTGTCTGTCTTCTTCTGTTGATTTCTCTGACATTTACGATGATCTGAAACTCAGAGAGCTAGTCTCCATCAGCAGATGAACCCGGCTCCTCTCCTTCACCTCCTCAACGTTCCTCCTCTCTGCTTTCTAGGTCACACTGACATGCGGCACGGAGACAGCGCTGTGCGGGGTGAAGGAGCCTAGCAAATGCCAGTACATCATAGACTTCCAGACTCCTGTGGCCTGTCAGCCGGTGCTGAAGCAGCGGGGCATCCACAGTGAACTGTGACCCTAGTTGCATGGATGTAGCCCCCCCCGGCTAGCCCCTGCGGTGACAGTCCAGGGTCCCAAGGGCCCCCGCTGACATCAGTGCTGTCAGAAAATGTATTCTTCCAACAAGCTCGCTGTAGTTAGAATATGATGATCAGGTTTCATTAATTGTTACAGCTTTACATTAGAATAGAGCATTTATTAATTAAAAACAGTAAAATCCTCCTGTGGGTTGACAATTACAAGATTACAATTACATAAATGATGTGAAGCTACATTTATTGCAGGGCCCAATTACATTGCCACCAATAACCATTTTATGTATCCCCGCCCCTTTCCCCACTTCCTGTTCAAAATTAGATGTCTTAGTTCTTCCGGTTTAGCAGCATTGTAAAAAATGAATTTAAGTTGAGATAATTTACAGCTACACTGCGGTGATCGGATGGTTTTACAGCATCAATCCTCTGTCAGTGACTGTCAGATGACATACGAAAATGGCCCCAAATTGTATACAATTTGAATAACTCTGTAGCTATGAGGACAAGTACCAAAGCATATCTGCCGGTCAGACTGCATACTGAAGCTGATGTGGACAGAATGGTAGAAAAAGGTTCACAGTGTTGACATTTATAGAAACAAGATAACTTTTTAGCGAGCGTGAACGTTAGGTGTTTTGCTAGAAACCGCTCTATCTATGAGAGAGTAAAAATCCCCTTCTGGATGGATGGATGGATAGATCCATCCATCCATCCATCCATCTATCCAGCTACCTACCTACTTTTAGCTATCTAGCGAGCTTTTGCTAAATTGGTGGCTCTCCTAATTGAAATGGGAATTTTTATTAAACATCCCATGGTTAAACTTACAGTACAGTACGGACCTGTGTCTACCTTTCAGGCAGTGAGAGTAATTATATATACAAACATTGTTGACGTTTTCCTTTTAAGAACCAAACAAAGCTTGCTGTAAATTCTCAATGATATGTTTTTTGCATAACGTAATCACATATTGCTAATCAAAATAGTTAGTGTCTCGCCTGAAAAACGGTTATAACTTAATAACCGTTGATTCAAAAGCTGCTATTAGCAATTAAGCTTTAACCGGAAGTAAGAGTAAGGTGAATAACTGCTGTATCGGTTCAATTCTGTCAAGTTAAAATGGCAGGTTAAATAAAACCAGCAATAATCTTAGGGACATATTCCGACCATCAGGAAAAAAGCAATAAATATCTTCTCATAAAATAAAATTCACTCCCTGCATGGAGATTTATTTTTCTGGGAGATTATACCAAAAGACAGAATTGAGGTGATCCATAATCTGTAGCCTTCACATTACGCAACAAAAATGTTCTTTAATAATGATACAAAAAGCAAAACCCCTGCCTATTGCCACTTTAACTCTAAAAGGAGAAATTGTGTGTGATATAAATATTTGTCCAATTGTCCCATGAAAAATCAAACCAGCAATGAATAGATGCTCTCTTTAGCTTAGCATATAGCCATGCACACGTTCTTTTTCATGATGCACATGAGCGGTTTATTTTAGCATCTAAAAAATGTTTTCACCAAATGTGTATTAATCTGTAGATGAAAGTAGTCTTCAACAAATGCACTATACTAGCAAATGCCAGTTTGTGTTACTAAAAACTGCAGCTGTGACTTAGTAAGCCTCTTTTCAAAATATAACTTCATATTTTCAACTGTTTTTTATAGATTAACATCATCACAAATAATATCTCAGAGAAGTGAAATAGTATTGAGAGAACCGAAACAATTTGTTGGCTTTAGTCTTTGCTTGTTGACACGGGAACAATACAAAAAGAGGTGCACCAGACCTTATCCATTCACAGCACCAATGTAACTGCTGTATTAAATAACTGCTCATCATAAGCACAAATAAAGTACTTCATATTTTGCTATAATCATACTTGATTCTTGTCTTAATTGAACAGATTGCGTAGCAAAGGCTCATTTAGGATCAGACTGCCTCCTATTTATTGTTACTTTATTCCCAGCTGCATCACTGTTAGCCTGCTAGCTCTGCTATAGCCTGAGCTAATTCTCCTGATGGGAAAGTTGCAGCGTGTTTGCGCCTGTAGGCCACCGTAAAAATCCCCTTCAATGAAGGTGTATGAAAGTAAATATTTTTAATCTAATTTGAAATTGAAAAGATATTCAATTTGATATATCAGATTTTTGGCCTCCGAATTGTATTGTATTCAATGACTGATTTTCACTTGTTTTTTTTCAATGTTACAAATTCAGAAAAACAGCTGCTCAAATTAGACTGGCCACATCCATGTATACAATTCAGATTAAACATCTAGGAACCCAAGGAAAAGCAATTGATTTATATAGATCAAGTCAAACCAATAGCCGGCCAAATCCAGCTCGGTTTTTCGCTCCGTCTGTCACGGCTTCCGGTAAAGTTTCCGCGTAGATTTTGCCCCCAAAAAATTGTCAGCGAGCAGGTTCCATGTTTTAAGCTGACCGTGACCGTGTGCAATGATTTGGGTTGATTTGGCTGGATGTTGGTTTGACTTCATTTACAATCGATAGCTTATTTTTGGAACCCCGGTTTTTAATCTAAATTGTGTTGCAACAAAGAAGTCAAATTATTATATATAGCTTTTGATTGTAAGTGGAACATCTAACAACTTGCATGGTTGCAAGTTGTTAGATGCAACACAATGTGTGTGTAAAGGCTCACATTTAAATTAACCAGCTAAACTGACGAGACAAAAAGAGTGTTTCTCTATGGTTATAATCTATGGACCTTGGATAGAAAAAGAAAATCTAGGAGTTAGAGTTTATCAGAAAAGAAAAGCAGTGAGTTGTGGGGAGGATTCAGGAGGGAAACACCCACCTCCTTCCAGCACATTAGCACATGAAGGAGGAGCAGGGATGGAAAGTCTTTTGAGCGTGGGTGTATTTGTGTGTTGACTCCAAATTTCTAAAAGGGCCCAGAGGCTTTAAGTTGCATTAAATCTCCACTTTGTAGAAACTCGTTCAAAGTACCTGTTCTGTGGAGTGGGAGAAAGCGCCTGCCTTACTGGTGACTGCCTGGTTGAATGACGCCCACCAAAACACACACTTTTGTTTTTCAGCTCCCTCCTTTGAAGGGAGGCCAGTCACATCCAGTTACTCCAGTTCAGTCACGATACTGAGCACGCTCATGAACTGTTCGCCCGTGCCTCGCAGCAGACTGTGCGGAGCGCATAAAGCAGACCCTTCACGCGATAGCAAGGGGTAGAGCGAGGGATCGCAGATGTGGTCGCGGACGGATTAAAAAAATTAAACATAAATGGCTCACGAATTATACTTTGGTGGCCGTTAATATACCGCCAAATACACACTCGGCTTGTAGCCTACATCTTTTTTGGCACACAACACCATTTAAATGCATGAGTGAGAATTCAGTACATACAGTATGTATGTATGTCAGGCCTCAGTTGTTATTCTATGTGTACAACGGATTGTAGTTCCTAAATATATTTCAAATAATATACATATGCTTTGATGTTTTGATAAGGCAGGGGGGACCCTTATCAAAACATTTACATAAGGAGGGGACCCTTATCAAACTAAAAAGTTACATTTTAAATATGGGGGGACCCTTATCAAAAAATATACATTTGATATATGGGGGGACCCTTATCAAAAAATATACATTTGATATAAGGGGGGACCCTTATCAAAACATATGTATATTATTCAATGGGTTACTGCCCGCTGTGACTATTGGGTTTTTCCATAATGGGCATGAAGGCAGGAGGGACCCTTATCAAAACATTTACATTTTACATAAGGAGGGACCCTTATCAAAACATTTACATTTTACATAAGGAGGGACCCTTATCAAAACATTTACATTTTACATAAGGAGGGACCCTTATCAAAACATTTACATTTTACATAAGGAGGGACCCTTATCAAAAAAAGTTACATTTTAAATATGGGGGGACCCTTATCAAAAAAGTTACATTTTACATATGGGGGTAGCCTTATCAAAAACATCAAGGCATATTGATTTATATAAATAAATATAAAATGACCCCTTGCTTATGTATATTATTCAATGGGTTACCGCCCGCTGTGAATATTGGGGGATATTAAATATGAAAAGGACCCCTTGTAAATGTAAAACATTTACATTTTACATAAGGAGGGACCCTTATCAAAACATTTTTTTTTAAATGGATCATCTCAAGGTGTTCATGACAACCTATCTTTATACCTTTTGAAGGTATTACGTTTTTAATATTTGATTGTAATTTCATATAGGAGAAGATGAGGGATTTATTCAGATTACAATTTTCCATCAACACTGTGAATGGAATTTTGATATTGTTTTTTACTATTTGCCCAATGTGTTGTATGTCATGTGCTTGCATATGTATATTATTCAATGGGTTACCGCCCGCTGTGAATATTGGGGGATATTACATATTAAAAGGACCCCTTGTAAATGTAAAACATTTACATTTTACATAAGGAGGGACCCTTATCCAAAAAGTTACATTTGTATATAAGGGGGGACCCTTATCAAAACATTTACATTTTACTTAAGGAGGGACCCTTATCCAAAAAGTTACATAAGGGGGGACCCTTATCAATAAAGTATAATTTTACATAAGGGGGACCCTTATCAAAAAAGTTACATTTGTATATAAGGGGGGACCCTTATCAATAAAGTATAATTGTACATAAGGGGGGACCCTTATCAAAAAAGTTACATTTCATAATGACATACGCCTGGTTTCTACACACCATACCATGCCTTATATCGAAATAAAATACCTTGTTTTGCATTTTTTGGACATGCTTTTCGACTTTTTTGTAATTTCTTTTTACATACTATATTAAGACTTTTCTGTCATTTTTAATGACATACAGCTGGTTTCTACAGACCATATAGAAACTGCTTATTTCGACATAAAGTACAATGTTTGTTTTTTGCATTTTTTTGACATGCTATACTGACTTTCTTGTCATTCTACACACCATACAGTGCCTTATTTCAACATAAAATACCATGGGTTTTTTTGTGCATTTTTTCGACAGAAAAAGTTACATTTTATATGAGAGGGGACCCTTATAAAATAAATTACATTTTATAGAAGGGGGGACCCTTTTAAAAAAAGTTAAATGGTATATAACATTATCAAAACAATTACATTTTATATAAGGGTATGTAAGGCTATGTAGTTTTTTCAGAAAATTCGACATACCGAATTTTTGGATAAACATTTCTAGTTGTTACATAAGACTTGTAAACAATGCTTTACTCAGAAAAGAGATTGCGCTGACATAATTTAACCCTCCTATTGTCTTCGTTTTCCCCCCTTACTTTGGTGTTCGCGGTCAAATTTGACCGGTCCTTTCAAACTGTATATATTGTATCAGACTACTGGTATACATGAACAACTGCAGTAAATATACAAAGAATAGACACTGAACCATAGACTGTTCAGTGTCTGAACTGAACATGTATTGCGTGTGCCAGGTGTGATCCATGGGGGGATGGGCACATAAGAGCGGGAAATGTGTCAAATTGTTCTGTGTGTGTGTTTGTGCACACCCCTTGGGCATATAAGCCCCCGCACACATCTAGAGTATATCCCCCCATGTGTTTTATCTGATCCGGATGGTTTGACCGGGAACACCATGGGTGGATTTAGTCCACACACAGTTGACTAAATCAGTGGTTCCCAAACGGTGTGCCGCGGCACACTGGTGTGCCGTGAGGCAAGTCCGGGTGTGCCGTGGGATTTTGTGACAACCATACGTTATTATTGCAATATACAACTACACAACAAATAATTATTTTGTAAATTTACTATATCAGTACTTTGTAGGTTTATAAGTACGTAATCTGCGCGACTTGTGCGTCCACATCTCCACGTGCAGTGCTGCATAAACATGGCTGAATCAGCGATAACTTTCGAGGGGTGGAGGTATGCACATTATTTTGAGTTCGTCCCATAGACTGTAGGTGTAGGTTCGTCCGAAGAATAGACAGGAATGTGACGGTGAGGTGCAAACTGTGTCCAGGCCAGAAGCTGTTATCCACTGCTGTAAACACCACGTCAAACCTCAAAACACACCTGCAAAGAATACATGCTAAGGTGAAGCTACCGCACACGCTATTTGTTGTTTGTTTATATCACGCAGTCTGTTCTTCTTCTCTGTCTTCCGGTTGTTGCCTGTTTTGAATGACAAATACACACTACCGCCGCCTGCAGGTAAGGAAAGTTATTGCCACTCACGCATGCGCAGTTCGTACATGCTCGGGGAGTAAAGTAACGAGTAAAGTAACGAGTTACTTTATGTAGAGTAACGAAGTAGTGTAATATATATTTTTAGTAACGACCCCATCTCTGGAGTTGGCGTTCTCTACTCTGATTTACATGAAGAACAACAGGAGGTCACGGCTCTCTGTTGAACAGGACTTGCGAGTGGCCCTCTCCTCAGCGCCCCGACAGGCACATGTATCTCACTAATTTGTAAGTCGGCAAAAATATTTACAATAGCACATGTTTTAATGCTGATTGCTGACATGTTACATTTATAATGTGTAGTTCAGGACCATGGACAATGCAGCTTCCTTGCATTGACAGTTCTCTGTGCTGAATTTCTTCTGAGTTTCCTTTGCCTCATTTTTAACGTTGTGACCCGTCTGGTTTAAATGAGTGTGTTGCTGCTTTGATGAAGCCTAATTTGATAAAGTTTCAAATTCATTTCTGAAATATTTCATTAATAAATATTTCACGAGTAATATAGTTGTCTTTGTCACATTTTATTTGGCATTAGTAAATAATTATGCACATTTACAGATATTTCACATGATATGAGTGATAACACGTGTTATAAGGGCTATTTTGCACAATAGGTGTGCCTTGAGATTTTTACTTGTCCTTTGGTGTG